TACCCAAACTCAATCAGCCAACCACAGAAAAGCTAAAGACAGCCTTAATCCATTTTAATCCTAATTTGTAGTTTATTATTTTCTTAAAATTTCTCTACACACAAAAAGAAACTTCAAGGTTAGGGTCTAATGTTACCATTGCTAACATTGTCTTTGAAGAAGGAGGAGTGACACTCTGTTTAAAAGATCCTCGTCACACACAGGTAAAATTCCATTTCCAATTTATCCAGTTAGCACGAGGTTCTACTTCAGCAACCACATCGTCTTCGATGGCTAAGATCCATTTTCCTCATTTTCCTCATCTGTAACGAGTGTGTGTCGTTCCTCTCTCCCTCTCACCCCTCCCTTCCCCATCACCCAGGTTTAACTTCCCTTTTGAAATTGTCTTTTGTGTTCTTTTCTGTTCTCATGAAAAATGAGTCTCAAGTCTTACTGTGAGATCATGAATAATTAAATTAAAATCATCAGGAATCCATTTTTATGGATTATACGGCCCTGAATCATCTCAGTAAGTTTTTCTAGGTAACCAAGTCCAATCAAATTCCAAGTTCACTAAGCTTTCCTATAAGGATTACAGTTACTTCAGTGCTCTCTTCAATTTGCACGCCAGGGCATGCAGTGTTGCTTCTACTCAGGTGAGCGGTGTTCACACAACTAAGCCTACCACCAATGCGAACTACAAAGGAAACCTGAATCCGTTTTGAACCAGTTGGCTCTGCAATGTTATGTATTACTTCATGACTGTTTTGAATGAATTATATTATATATCAAGTCACTACTTAGGACAAATCAAAATATTTATGTTTCTCTATTAGTCATCTTTAGGCAGTACTAAAGAGCTCTTTTTCTTGAATATATCTTATATCTATTTTTAGAGTCACCAAAAAACATCTCAGAGTTGTGTTAAATTCCCAATGTCCAGTCTTGCTTCGCATGTAAAATAGAGGTGCACTCTAACCTATCTTCTCCCATCCATTCCCACTAAACCCTAGGAGCAAATTAATTATTTCTTTCCAGGATAAAATTCAGACACATAAATATAACAACAGTTTGATGGATACACTCAGACAATTCATTTCTTCAGGAGAAGTCATATAAATCATCAATAAACAGGGAAAATTAGCATGAGTCCATTCCCTGGTTTTTGATTTGCAGTTCTTTTCACTTTTGCAAAAGCAAGATTTTGTTCTAATGTTTAGAATGGCTCCAACAGGCATTTCCCCAAGAAGCTATCACCGGGAACCTACTCCTGATGCTCACATCATACAAATTCTTCCTCCTCCTCATCACCTCCTTTAGTTCAAGGAACTAAAGCTTATTGAAACCAGTAAACAAAGAGGAAGAGCCCAATGTTGAAAAGATAGAATCTGGTTGCTAATTCGCTATTAGAGGAAATAAAAAGTTTCTAGTTACATGCAAAAAAAAAAAAAAAAAAAAATCTGCCTCTCAAGGTCAAGCGTCTCAATCCCATTTACTTCTGTAAAAAAATGTAAAACCTGTCATATTGAAAGGGCAGCCTTTTTCCCAGTTGAAAGAACCTATCTGAGCATTCTCAAAGTAAGTCTCCAATCATTGTTATCAAATTTATATGAAACAAACTCCTCCACCCTCAATGTAAAAAAGATAGTATCTGATCCCAAATATCTTCCATATTCATGTGGTTTAATGTAATCATTTCAGATAAATTCATCATTTGCCCTAACCTGCAACCGAGGTTTGAGGATTTTCTACCTGTACACACAGTTCTACCAAACTGCCTACTGAAATTGTCGATGTTAGTAGGTTTCACCGAGCTTTAACGTACTTATAAAAGCCCCAGATATTATTTTCTGCCAAATTCTCTTGGAAACCCCAAATTCACGAGCGGCTGCTGGCTACGTCCCATCGTCCCATGCCTCGCACCGCCCCACGCTTTCTGGCGGCTTCCCGGTGCCCTGCTCACGCCCGGTTGCTAGCCCCAAGCGCGCGCCCGAGTAGCGTCCGGCAGGAAGGACGGCCCGCCAGCCCCACGCACAATGCTCCCTTGACTGTTCCAACACTGCTCCTAAGCTTGGAGAGTGCTGGTCGCAGGCCGAGGAGGAGCAGCTGCCCTCCTCGGCTTCTGGCTCCTTGTCACAGCCCTCAAGGGCGGAGGAAGAGAAGGAAAGTGCCTGACCACCTGGCGCGGGGCCCACCATCCCTTGCCTCCCACACCGCACACCCTCGACACACACAGGGTCCCGCGGGACGGGGAGGGGGACCACCTGGACATTGAGCACCTCGCCGGGGACGCTCAGAGCCGGCTCCGCCGCGCCAGCGGATCCTGGCTCGGCCGGGCCGGGAAGGGCGCGCCACTCGGTGGCCAGCCCGAGCGTAGGGTGCACCGCGCGAGGAGTGCCGAGCCCCGGAGAGGCACACCCCGAGAGCCTGGCCGGCCCCGCCCGGGAACCGGGGTGGGTAAGGGAGTCGGGGTCGGCCCAGGGACCCGCGGCCACGCGGGCCAGGAGGCTGGATCAGTCGCCTTCCCCAAGTGGGAAAGCCTGGGTCCGGCGTGCGGGAGCCCAGTGTCGGGCAGCGGCAGCAGGGCCGGCGGGAAGAGGCTGCAGGTCCGGGACCAGCGCCCCTAGCCGCGCCCGCCGCTTCCACTCACCTGGCAGTTGGCGCCGGAGATCCCGGCAGGGCAGGTGCAGCTGTAGCCGGGCTCGGCGGCGGGGGCCGGGTGCTGCAGGTCAGCCTCGGGTCGCGAGTTGCACACGCCCCCGTTCAGGCAGGGCTGCGCGGCGCACGGCCCGGGCGCGGACAGGGGCGCGGCGGGCACCGGGCTGGCCAGGGAGCTGCCACGGGGCCCCGCGCCGAGCAGCAGCAGCAGCAGCAGGGCTGGCGAGGGCAGCAGCTGCGCACCGGGCCCCTGGGCGCGTCGAGGCGGCATGGCCGGCCGGGAGGGCGCGGGAGCCGGGGTCCGGACGCGGTGACAGTGGCGGCGGCGGCGGCGGCGGCGAGAGCAGCGAGAGCTGCGGCGGTGGCGACTAGGGCTGCTCCGCGGGGCCGGGCGCCTCCTGCAGCTGCGGGATCCGCGGTTCCCCCGGCAACGGCGGGCGGGGCCTGCGGGGCGGGGAGGGGCGGGGCGAGTGGGGGCGGGGAGGGGCGGGGCGAGTGGGGGGCGGGGCGCCTGGCAGCCCCGGCCCGGGAGCAGCGGAGAGTGGGACCTCTCTCCCCGCGGGGAGTTGGGGCGGGGGTTGCAGGAAGGCGACGCGGGACCGCAGCCCCAAGGAGTGGGTCGGAGTCACGGGTGTGTCCAGAAGGAGCCCTTGGACCGGGAGCCAGGCGACGCTAGGGCAGGAAAGGGGCTGGAGAGGTCCACGGCGTGCGGGAGGGGGGCTTTCAGGGGCCTCCAGGGGCCTCCAGAGCGGGGAGCACCGGATGCGCCCCCAGGCCGGAGCAGGGCGGGGCGTCCCAAGGGAGGGGCGGTGCGCTCGCCGCAGCCGCCCGCGGCCTCTTGGCACAGAATCTGGGAGACCGCCGCGGGGCCCGGCCTTGCCTTATTCCCCGGGGCCGCTCCCCTTTCCACAGCACTTCTCCCGGCACCCCCAGCCCTCCCGCCCGGCCGCTGAACCCTGCGCCCGACGCTAGCTCGGCGACCGGGCTCGCCAGGAAGAAACCTCGCGTCCGCCAGGCGGGCCCGGGGCCCTTGTCCTTGGTGCTGACCGAACTGTCTCCTCGCCGGCCCTTTCCAGAGCGCGGGGCCTGCCGCGCCACTAAGGAATGTCTGGCCGCGCCGTGTGAGAGCGGGAAGAGGTCTTGGGATCAGACTGTCCACCCCTGTCGTTGAACCTCACGGGGAAACTGAGGCCCAGAAAGCCTGGACTCGAACCCAGTGGGTCAATTGACTCCCAGCCCAAAACGCCAGAAAGAACAGTTCAGAAGCGCAGGTTGGCTGAGGAGCTGCTAGCGGAAGGAATCGCTATAGGACTCTGTATAAAATCGCTGTGACCTACTTCGGGGGGCTCTTCTAACGCGTCCTGGCGGGGTTGGCTGGTGCTGTGACCGCCAAGAAGGCTGCACTCCGCTGAGTAAAGCGCAGCCAGCCTCGTCTCCTCCACCTGACCTTTCGCAATCTCTACTACCTATGGGTTCCCAGGTACCTTTTACCTTCGTTTTAAGGTGGCCAAATGAAAACAGAAAATATGATTCCCCTGGATTGACAATCTGAGCCAATTTTTTTAGTGAACACAAAAATAGCTTGTTTTGTTTTTAAGAAAATAAATTAAGTAAGGACTCCATATGAACTTATGCTGTAGGTGTAACAAACACCAGGCTGCTAAAAGTCCTCCAGTGGAAACAGGAGGGGAACTGCACGGCCTCTCCCTGTCCTGTTCAAACGCAGAAGCAAATGTCACACTTTTCTGCTTTAGGAGATGTCTAAAATGCATGTGGCCATTGCAGGAAATCACTCAACCCCAGGCAGATATGCAAGCCGAGAATTCAGACCTCCAAGTGGATACAAACAGTTATTACATTTTTCCTCACACCTGCTGTCTTTTAATCCAAGACCTTTTCCTTTTGTAAATTCTTAATTTTGTGCCACGCCAGCACCCTCTGCTGGTACTAATGTCGTCATTCAGGTGGTTCTTCCACTTTCTGTGCATTCTTTCCTGAAACTAACTTCTCTTACCTTGAATCCTGGACTAGTAGATAGTGCTGTTCATTCCCTTCCAACAAGACACACACATAAACGAAGCAAGACGAAGTGTAAAAAAGTTGTGAGTTAATTAAAATCACATTTCAGTTTATTATACCTTTGCCTGAGCGACCGCTTTGTTTATATATTCCATATTACTTTGAAATATAGGAGAATTAAAAGTGGTTTTATTTTCTGAATGCTGGTTACTGCATGTTTCAGAGAATTTTATTTTCTTGAAGTATTCTCTTAGTCTTTAATCTTTAAAATGCATATTATGGCAGAGACAAGACAATATGCTTTCATTTTTCTCCAGGCTAAAAAGGAAAACTAGGCCTGGTGCGATGGCTCACGCCTGTAATCCCAGCACTTTGGGAGGCCCAGGTGGGCGGATCACAAGGTCAGAAGATGGAGACCATCCTGGCTAACACGATGAAATCCTGTCTCTACTAAAAACTACAAAAAATTAGCCAAGCGTGGTGGCATGCCCCTGTAGTCCCAGCTACTTGGAAAGCTGAGGCAGGAGAATAGCTTGAACCAGGGAGATGGAGATTACAGTGAGCTGAGATCAGGCCTCTGCACTCCAGCCTGGGCGACAGAGCAAGACTCCATCTCAAAAATAAATAAATAAATAAAATAAAAAATAAGACTAAATCTTCCAGCATCGTAGCTTGTAGGTGGAGCAACATGATTAATGCTGGAAAAAGGCATGTTGATTTGCATGTCCTGGTCCCAAAACATCCATGTACTAAGTGCCATGCAAGTGTTAACTATTATTACTATTAGCACTCTCAGAGAAATGGATCTTTTCTGTAGATTCTGAAAGCTGATCTGGGACTTCACTACAATTTTTCAGTCATCTGCAAGACCCTCAAATCCTCAACTAAAAAGTCCAACTAATATATCACCCTGTCACACTAGCAAAAGTGATTAAAATAATATTGCCTCTATGTTTAAATGAAAGCCAAAAATCCAGGCTTTTGTTTTATATTATTCCCAACTCACAGAATGTCAAATCTTCATCCTAACTCATTTCCTTTTTTGAGAGAGACCCTATATTGATAAGTCAAAGGCAAAATACACCAATACTGTATCTTAATTTCAGCCAAAAACAAAAGTGATAGAATTTCTTGTAATCACTTTATGGAGAAAGTTCAGCTAAGTGGACTCAAAACTATTTAGCAACATGCCAGTCACTACCAAGCCACAAGAATTTTTAGGGAAATATCATGGAGTTGAAACTTTGGGCAGCTAATAAAATTCACACCAGAATCAACAAGTACATTTATCTTAATCAGTAGAAATGCTGAGCTAAAATAAATGGAATGGAATATGAGGTGAATGATAGTACATTTGCCCTTACTGCTACTTGCCAATATTTCCACCTCTCGTCCTTCCAGGAACTTCTTAGTTAAGACTTTACTTTCCTGCCCTCCTTAAAGTTAGATGTGATCATATCATTTGCCATGACCAATGAAATGTGCAAAAAATAATGTGCACCACTTCCAGATGGAAACTTTTAAAATTCAGTGCATGTCCACTGTGTTCTCCTCTCCTCAGCATGACAACTGGCAAGATTCCAAGAGGTGGAATGGGGGCTCCTTCAGCTTGTGTCCCTGAGAGAGGACAATGTGGTGAAGCAATGGAACCTCCAATGGACATATGACGTAAGAACTAAATCACTATACTTTTAAGCCACTGAGTCCCAACGATGTAAAATTACTCAAGGTCACATATTAGTAAGTGGCAGAGCAGGTCTGATTATTCCCAATGAGGCAGGCAGCATGACTAGTGATATTAGGTGTACTATTTCTGCCAGGTAGAAGGCTGGATCCTCTTAGAAATTCTAAGGCTTCTGGATTTGGTGGAACGAAAAAATTTCAAAACAATTTATAGGACACATTTCTTTTCATAGGTCTCATTTAGAGTTACAGCTCGATTGCATTATACCCGTAGGGTATTATAAAAATGTTACAAATACATATATAATTCTTTATTTTTTGCATTTTGTTACGAATGGAGAAAACCAACTTCCCAGGCCAGGGCAGGTTCACAGATAGCCATTTGGGAGCCGCTAGCCTCAATGAGAACAAGACTCCTGATGAGTTTTTTAATACTCTGTGTCCACCACAGCATCCTGTGAGAAGGCCAGCCTGGGTGCTCCGTGTCATCATTCAGAGACTTAGAAATTTATATTTAGGCCAGGTGTGGTGGATCATGTCTCTAATCTCAGCACTTTGGGAGGCCAAGGTGGGCAGATCACCTCAGGTCGGGAGTCTGAGACCAGCCTGACAAACATGGAGAAACACTATCTCTACTAAAAATACATAATTAGCCAGGTGTGGTGGTACATGCCTGTAATCCCAGCTACTTGGGAGGCTGAGGCAGGAGAATCGCTTGAACCCAAGAGGCAGAGGTTGCCATGAGCCAAGATTGTGCCACTGCACTCCAGCCTGAGCAACAAGAACAAAGCCCCATCTCAAAAAAGAAAAAAGAAAAGAACGAAGAAACATATTTAGAAGAAATTGCAAAGGTTACCAAGCTTGATTTCCCAGAATTTGAACTAAGATCCAAACTAAATCATTTACATGGGTTGATAAATCGCCTCCAGCTTACCTGGGATTTAGCACCCACCTTCTTTCCAAAAGCACCTAACTTTTCTGCAGCCATTTGCACGATGGTCTCCGTATTTCCCTCTGTATCTTCAATTGCCTGTAGGCAGTAATGTTATTACTGCTACCCCTTCCTACATTCCACATTCGGTTAACCTTTAAGGGTACAAGAAAACACCCCTCCTCCCTGCAGAGGGTGGGACTGGCTGCTCGACTGAAGCTGAAGTCAGCTTGAAAGAAAAGGTTGGCCACGTATAGAGAGAAGGGACACATTGCCTGGTGACAACTTTCTACTATGAAGAACAGCACCATCCTACTTTGGCCAGAACAGTTCTATCAGGACCCATGATAGCACGAGCAGGTTATTCTCTTTGACCCTCAGAGGTCCTATAACATGGAGACAGAAACCTCAATTTTACAGAGCTCTAGGTAGCTCTATAAAATGAGATGATAGGGATGATGTGGAGTATTTACAATGTACCAGACACTAGTATGAGTATTTTTTTATATATTATCTCATTTAATCATAATGTCATCATAATGAGGTAGGAACTATGACTGATGCCCAATTAAAGGACAAAACTGAGGTGAAATGAGCTGAAGTAAAATGTCTGAAGTCCCTCAGTTTGCAAGGGGCATGGCCAAGACTCAAACATAGGGAGGAGTCTGGCTTAGGAGCCATGCTTTGTTTGAATCCCTACTGTATCTGATATATGACTCTCCTGCAGTTCAGAGTCTGACACTTAGTACATACTATGTATCCTACAATGTAAAGTCTGATACTTAGTAGATATTGTGCATGAGCTATAGAGACAAATATAGATCTACATATATATGTACATATGTATAATGTATGTCATAAATATAGATAATGTATATACCATGTGTGTGTGATATGTATCATATATGTATGTGTGGTATGTGTCATATATGTGACATGTTTATCGTATATCTGTATGATCAGTAACATATGATATGTTGCACAGTGCTTGCTGGGCTTTGGTTTATTGTGGGGAGGCACTTGAGAGTTTTAGTTGTTTGCTCACTTGCTGTCTCTGCAAGGTAAATACTACTCCTGACTTGTGAAGGTGTAGGATGTGGAAATTGGATAGGACACTCCAGAGATCTTTTCTGAGGAGGAAGAGGATGCATTGAAGAAGCTAATAGCTGTCCAGGCTGAGTAGCTGCAGAACCAGAATGAGGCCCCAAGCCTCCAAATCACTAGTTTATGCTTTTCCACCTTCCCATACTACCTCTCCTCCACTTCCAATATTTCCTACAAAACAATCAACCCAAAAAGTCAATACAAAAATATAAATACTAAGTACATGGGAGTTTTAAGTGTCTTTGAAGAATTGTCATAAAGAATAAATATGACTTGCATGCATTATAGCTATAAGCACTAGGTAATTATCTTATTTCTTTAATTAGTAGTATCTTTATTAAAATTAGTCATTTAAGTGTTAGAATTTATATTCAGATTATTTTATTCTATTATCACTGAACAATTCCTAAATGCTGTTTGAGACAGGTTCACATTTACTTTCTCCCCTCTAGACTTGCTCTGATGTGAATTAAACCACTGTTCTAGCAGCTGTTTAAAACAGTTTTAATTTATTTTACATTATCACTGTAATATTGATTTGATCTAAGGTAGGTTTAAATGAGGTCTTGAATAAAAAGGCAGCAAGGAAGCATATCTTCCCCATATGAATATTTTATAAAGCACTTGAGCTACCTCCAGGTGGAAATCAGGTATTTTCACATTGATTCCTGAGAACATAGAAATTATTTTAAATTCAATAACTGTTTTTAATTCCCTATACTGAACATAGGATCCAGTGTCCCTGCTCTCTATACGTGGCCAACTTTTTATTTCAAGCTTACTGCAACTTCAGTCCAGCATCCAGTCCCACCCTCTGCAGGGAGGATGGGTATTTTCTTATATTCTTAAAGGTTAACTGAATGTGGGAAGGAATAACAGGAATGACGTCATTGTCTACAGGCAACTGAAGGTGCAGAGGGAAATACAGAGACCACCTTGCCAATGGCTTGTGAAAACTTAGATGCTTTTGGAAAGAAGGTGGGTGCTAAATCCCAGGTAAGCTGGAGCTGATTTATCATCTAATAAATCCACATAACTAAACTGCAAATAAGGAGATGCAATTTAAGTCCCTTTCTTTGCACCTGAGTTCACTCTGGGATCTTAAAATAGAGTATTATAAAATAGCTCCAGTCTTTGGGTCTTCCAGACACAATATTTTAAGCTTTATTTCCATATAGAAGGTGCTCATGTTAATGGCTTAAACAAATTGTGGATTTATTCTCCCTCATAAAAGAAGTCTGGAAGTTGTCGGTCAAGGGTTGATAACAGTGTTGATGATTCACTCAGCTATCAGCCAAGAAGCTTCCTGCCTCTACTGTAAATGAAGCCTGAAATATCCAAGCTACATTATCGCTAACTTGCCTATGGTGGGACATCTGTGGTTTTCTCCATCTGGTTAGTATCTCTCCTTCTTGGATAACTGGGTCCCAATTTTGCCATGGGGAAACCAACTCTCAGCCCATATGCTGCACATGAAACTGACCTCACTGCCAGATTCAGGAGTAACCATGTGACCTAGACCTGAGCATTCCCCTGGTGACAGAGTGGTTCAAGATGGACATGTGATCCCAGTCACACACCATGAACACCAAAAGCTCAACAGAGCTAATAGACACATACAAAAACAATTGATGCAGATGGGTGCAGTGGCTCACACCTGTAATCCCAACACTTTGGGAGGCCAAGGTAGGTGGATCACCTGAGGTCAGGAGTTCGACACCAGCCTGGCCAAAATGGTGAAACTCCATCTCTACTAAAAATGCAAAAAAATTAGCCAGGCATGGTGGCACCCTGTAATCCCAGCTACTCGGGATGCTGAGCCAGGAGTATCATTTGAACCTGGGAGGCAGTCATGTCAGTAAGCTGGCCAAGATTGAGCCACTGCGTTTCAGCCTGGGTGACAGAGCAAGACTCCATCAAAATAAATAAATAAATCAGCAAAATAGGCCAGGTGTGGTGGTTCATGCTGTAATGCCAGCACTTTGGGAGGGCGAGGCAGGTGGATCGACTGAGGTCAGGAGTTCAAGACCAACCTGGCCAACATGGCAAAACCCTGTCTCTACTAAAAATACAAAACTTAGCTGGGTATTGTGGTGTGTGCTTGTAATCTCAGCTACTTGGGAAGCTGAGGTGGGAGAATCACTTGAACCCAGGAGGCAGAGGCTGCAGTAGGCCAATATCGCACCACTGCACTCCAGTCTGGGAGACAGAGCAAGACTCCATCTCAAAAAAAAAAAGCAAAATAATCCAGCAAAGTATTTAAGAAAACCTATTTACCTGTATTAATAGATTTAAAAATAAAAATACTATGGCCTTCTTCATAAATGTTGAAGATGCATTTAATAAAATTCTGTATACATTCTTGATAAATAATAAAATGAAAAAAGATAACTGCTACCTTATAATGCAGCACATCTGTCTCAACCCAAAAGTCAGCATCATGCTTAATGAAAGAATATGAAAAGATAATCCCATCAAGGTTGATAATGACACTATCATCATTATAATTTAATATTGTTCTTGAGATATTAACTCAAACCAGTATTCAAAAGCAAATTTATAAATATTTAATTGGAGAGGAAGTAAAATTATTATATGCAAACAATATATCTAGAGAATACAACTTAAAATATACTATAAACAATAAGAAAATCCCACAAGATATCAAAATAAATACACAGAACCAAAAACTCACATATATGCAAATAATAGCAGTTAATTGATGTGGGGGTGAGGGAATCTCACATTAGAAACAAACAAAAAATTTCTTAATAATTATAACAAGAAAGTGAAATACCTATTGAAGAAAATTTTTAAATATAATCAAATGACACAAAATAAACTTGGAAAAATATAAAATACCATGAACGTGAATAGGAAGACTTAACATCGTAAAATATAAATGCCCCTAAGCTAATCTATACATTTAACATAATAAATACAATCACCAGTGGAATTTGGTGAGGGAGAGTATGGAATTGCACAAGGTGATTCTAAAGCTCACCATGAGAAATAAGCAACCTAAGAAAGCCAAGAAACTCCTGAACAAGAAGGCAGTGAAGTGGAACTAACCAATATTAAAACATAATATAAAACTACAATAATTAAAGTAGTGTGACACATTAAATAGACAAACTTATGGGACAGACTAGGGAGTCCAGAGATAGACCTAAATATTTGTAAGAATATGCTAGAGCTGTATGGCTTGTTCAATAAGTGAGATAAGTGAGTCATCACTTGGACAAATAATAGTATTGAATCCATACCTCACAACTTATACCTCAATAAACTCCAAATGGACCAAAGATGTCAAAGTGACCCAAAAGAACGAAGCCATAAAAATTCAAGAATAAACCAAGGCAGAATATTTTTGTAATCTCGGAGTGTGACACATATCCAGAAGCCATTAAAAAAAGAAAGATCAAAACACTTGTCAACATAAAATTGAAGAATTTCACATAGCAAAAATCACCATATGCTGTATGAAAGCGCTAAGAAAAACCTTGTGCATACTTTATCAAAATCAAAGGGCTAATTTCTCTACTGCAGAGCTATCTTCCATAAGGCAATAAGAAAAATCATTGACAAACTTCAAAACTTTCTATCCCTTTCAGCATCACCTCCCAAAGTGCATTCCGAAGGACACTAGTTTCTTTAGATATTGGCCAACTTATTAGATAAATGCTTAGAAGTGATCATTTGTATTCTGTACAGCAGGTATGTGCATTTATAATTTTAAAAGACAGTGTCAGATTGCCCTCCTTAGACATTCTACCAATTTACATTCCTGCCAGTTAATGTGTGGAAGTCCCTGTTCGCTCCATTATAAGGTTTCATCAAACTTTTTCATACCGGAAAATCTGATAGGTGAAAAGTGTTGTATTAGTCTGTTTTCATATTGCTGTAAATAACTGCCTGAGACTGGATAATTTATAAAGGAAAGAGGTTTAATTGACGCAGTTCAGCATGGCTGGGGAGGCCTCAGGAAACTTACATTCATGGCAGAAGGTGAGGGGGAATCAAGGCACCTTATTCACAAGGTGGCAGGAAGAAATGTCAAGCAAAAGAGGAAGAGCCCCTTATAAAACCATAGATTACCACCCCCATGGTTCAGTGACCACACTCATGGTTCAGCGACCTCCTCCTGATCTCTCCCTTGACATGTGCAGATTATAGGGATTATGAGGATTACTATTCAAGATGAGATTTGGGTAGCGATACAAAACCTAACGTATCTTAGTGTAGTTTTCAAACATATTTCTTTTTTGTTTTTTTTGTTTGTTTGTTTGTTTTTCTTTTTCTTTTGAGAAGAGTCTCACTCTGTCACCCAGGCTGGAATGCAATGGCATGATCTTGGGACACTGCACCCTCGACTTCCCAAGCTCAGGAGATCCTCCCATCTCAGCCTACCAAGTGGTTGGGACCACACGTCTCACAGGTGGATGCCACCACGCCCAGCTAATTTTTTGTCTTTTTGGTAGAGAAGGGCTCTGTCACCCAGGCTGGAGTGCAGTGGCATGATCTTGGCTCACAGTACCCTCGACTTCTCAAGCTCAAGAGATCCTCCCACCTCAGCCTTCCAAGTAGCTGGGACCACACATCCCACAGGTTTGCACCAGTATGCCCAACTAATTTTCCGTATTTTGGGTAGAGATGGGGTTTTGCCATGTTGCCCAAGTTTGTCTTGAGCTCCCGAGCTCAAGAGATCTGCCCACATCAGACTCTCAAAGTGCTGGGATTACAGGCGCGAGCCACTGTGCCCAGCCTAAAATATATTTCTTATCATGAGCTAAAATGAGTGTATTTTCATATCCTTCAGAGAAATTTGCATTTCCTTTTTGTGGACTGATTGTTCTGAGAATGGAAACCATTCACCTTCACACACAGCTTGTACCCGAGATGGGAACTACTCCCCCAATAATCAGGCACACAAAGCCTCCTCTGCTGGAACATGATTTTATACTATGCCTCTTCTCCTTGGCATCACTTTTCTGCTCAAGCACACTCTTCCCCAGGCAAATATCTTGATTATTCATGATGGAAACCTCTGGAAAGACCCATACTTTTAGCCCTGAAACCTTTATCTCAAAATATTTGCCTTGCTCTTTCCACCAGTCCAAATCCTGTTGTTTCCTCCTATTTCTTTTTTTTTTTTTTTTTTTTTTTTTTTTAGACAAAGTCACGCTCTGTTTCCAGGCTGGAGTGCAGTGGCACAATCTCAACTCACTGCAATCTCCATCTTCCAGGTTCAAGTGATTCTCCTGCCTCAGCCTCCTGAGTAGCTGGGACTATAGGCACGCTACCATGCCCAGCAACTTTTTGTATTTTTAGTAGAGACAGGGTTTCACCATGTTGGCCAGGATGATCTCAATCTCTTGACCTCATGATCTGCCTGCCTTGGCCTCCCAAAGTGCTGGGATTACAGGTGTGAGCCACCATGCCAGGCCGTTTCCTGATTTTTATGCAATCTTCATCAAGCCCCTGCATTGACAGACCTGCCAGAATCCAACTTTGCATTTCTCACTCCAAGACACTGCTAAAGCTTTATGGAGCAACAAACTCAGTCTCTAGCAACTGTTGGTTTTTCTGTTGTGTTGCTAGTTTCTTTCAAGTTGATTTGTAGGAGATAGTTCATGAAACTGAAATAAAACCAACCCAGCTTTCGGAGCAGGAGCAAGAACAGAGCTAGAAAGGAACTGGGCTCCAACCTTGCAGAGTTGTGGACCAGGATTAGGTGGTGGGTTTGTTTTTTGTTTTTGGTTTTTTATTTTCTTGCAATGGGGAAGCTAGAGAATAATGTGACTGAATAGAGATTTTTTAAAGACCATCGTGGCTCAATGTGGGTGAAGGAGGGAAGCAAGGGTGGGTAGCAGAAATCCTGAAGGGATCAAATTTGGGAGGTGTTGGGGAGATGGAGGAAACGGGCTGTTCAGATGCACTGGCCATGGGGGATGACTGAGAGAAAGGAGTCCAAGACAATGCTGAGTTTGGATCCCAAACAACCAGGTGAATAAAGTTGACAGTTCCCGAGATGGTGAGGAGTCCAGAAGGAACAACGAGAGAGGGGAGGTGGTGTTTGTGGTGGAGGCAGAGAAGTGGTTGCTTCAGTAGGAGGGTAGTGGAGTCTCCTGTACAGGCAAAGGTGAGTGACAGCCTATGGGGCTGAGCAAAAGGAGAGGAAGGGCTCACTAGAGACAAAAGTGATGCTAAAGATTAACGATGTTTCTAACTAGTCTATGTGCAGTCCTTCGGTAGCTATGTCTAATTATTTTAACAGTAAAGACACCCAGATTGCTATTTTAAATCAACAAAGCTGGCCAGTCACGGTCATTCACACCCGTAATCCCAGTACTTTGGGAGGCTGAGGCAGGTGGATCACTTGAGGTCAGGGATTTGAGACCAGCCTGGCCAATGTGGTGAAACCCATCTCTATTAAAAATACAAAAATTAGCTCGGTGTTGTGGCACATGTCTGTGGTCCCAGTTACTCAGGAGGCTCAAGCATGAGAATTGCTTGAACCCAGGAAGCAAAAGTTGCAGTGAGCTGAGATCACACCACTGCATTCCAGCCTGGGTGTCAAAATAAATAAATAATAAAGTCATTTTATTTTATTTGGTACACATCGTGCATTCCTATCACACATTTTCAAAAATAGTGCCACTGTTTGGGCTGTGTCCTTGCTCAGCAAACCTTGTGCTCCAATTTAAAGGACAGCATGTCTCTTCACATATTTTTATAAATCTTTTCAAAGACGCTAATGAAATAAAAGCATAGTCATTTTTTTAAAAATCTAGAAATTTTAGGCTTAATGGATTTCCAAATAAAATCAGGAACTCAGAAGACAGTCTGTGCAGATTCTATTTTTGCTGACAATGCACAAGAGAAAGCAGCTTTCTTTTATGAAATCTAATTAAATGACTACAAGGAAAAGCTAACGGGGTTGGTAACGGGCAGAAGTTTTTCCCTGTCAATACTGAGGGCTCTAGCTTTCTGGGGCTGCCATGGCACTCAGCCCGGTGATTAACTGAAGTGTGGGACCCACGTCATCAGCAAACGTGATCACAGCATCATGTGACCCTTTGTGCGTCAGGGGGTAATGTGTAATCTGAGCAATGCTCAGAGAATGCGCTGTGAATAGTAAAGGGCATTCATATAACAGTGAGCCACACTGACTGCAGTCATTTATCTCAAGATTACGCCAATTTATTTAGATGCAGATGTCACAGACTGATTAAAAACTAGTCCATTGCACATATTCCATTTGCTGCTGAGATGAGAATTAATAGACACAAGCCAGATGACATCTATATAGGTGTGACACCTCATCCAGGGGGCAAAGCGTGCACTCAGTTGTTTTTCTGAATGCACAAATTAGCCCAAGGTGAACTTGCCCCCTCTTCTACTGCAAATGCTCAAATGAATGCCCATGATTTCACCTCTTTTCACTACACTGAATTATTAAACTATCAGGATTTTGTAGCCTTGTCCTAGTTATCAACTATGATGACTTTTAGAACAAATATTTAAGGATGCTCTCCACGTCATCCATGGACCAGAGAATAGTTTTTGATTCCAGAAACAATGATAGGTTTTTTGATACTGAATCAGGCTTATATTCTCGGAATAAATCCCAAAGGATCATAGGTGGAACCAATTGCTTTGGAACTGGGAGAACTGGGCAGGGCTTAGGGGTCAGGGTTGAGGACGTCATCAGCCCATAAGCTGCAGAGCCAGTAACTAAAAGTGAACCAGCAGAGAGCATCCAGGGACAAACAGTCCAACCAAGGAGTCAGCTCAAAGGTATAGGGCCAGAGGCAGAATCCAGGCACAGGGAATGAGTGGCAACCAGGCATTCCAGATGAGAATTGCAAAGGCCTCTGGGTAAGCTGTCCCTTACCCAGCACTATCACATTACTGAATGTTATGAAATCTGCACAGGCCAAGTGCAGCGGCTCATGCCTCTAATCCCAGCACTTTGGGAGGCCGAGGCGGGCAGATCGCTTGGGCTCAGGAGTTTGAGACAAGCCTGGGCAATAAGCCTTACCAAAAACACAAAAAATAATTAGCCGGGTGTGGTGGCACGTGCCTGTAATTCCAGGTACTTGGGAGGCTGAGGTGAGAGGATAGTTTGAGCTCAGGAGTTCAAGACAAGCCTGGGCAGCATGACGAAATCCTGTCTCTACCAAAAACACAAAAAGTTACCTGGGTGTTGTGGCATGCCTGTAATTCCAGCTACTCAAGAGGCTGAGGTGGGAGGGTTGCTTGAGCCTGGGAGGCGAAGTTTGCATTGAGCCATGATGGCACTACTGCACTCCAGCCTGGACAACAGAGTGAGACCCCACGTCTACAAAAAAAAATTTTTTTTTAATTAGCCAGCTGTAGCGGCACATACCTGTAATCCTAGATACTCGAGAGGCTGAGATGGAAGGATCACCAGAGCCCAAGAGTTTGAGGCTGCAGTGAGCTATGATCGCACCACTATCCTCCAGTCTGGACAACAGAGTGAGATCCTATCTCAAAATAAATAAATAGGCCAGGCATGGTGGCTCACACCTGTAACCCCAGCACTTTGGGAGGCCAAGGCATGCGGATCACTTGAGGTCAGGGGTTCGAGACCAGCCTGGCCAACATGGTGAAATCCTGTCTCTACTAAAAATACAAAAATTAGCTGGGCAGGGTGGCAGGCACCTGTAATCCAAGCTACTCAGGAGGCTGAGACAGGAGAATTGCTTGAACCCAGGGGGTGGAGGTTGCAGTGAGCCTGAGATCATGCCACTGCACTCCAGGCTGGGTAACACAGCAAGACTCTGTCTCAATTAAAAAAAAAAAAAAAGAATATCCAAATGTACCATAAACATATGAAAAGACGCTCATCCACAGTAGTCATCCGGGAAATGCACATTAAAATCAGAATAAATAACGTTCCATATCCACTAGAGTAGCTAGAATTAAAAGGACTGACAATGACAAGCATTACAGGAGCAGTGGTGGCTCACATACACGGCTGGAGGGAGTGTTAATTGGCAAAACCACGTTAGACAACTTCTTGGTGGTATATACTAAGGTTGAACCTAAACATACTCTATAACTTGACCATTTGTCTCCAAGATCTCATTTATATCCAACAGAAATATGGTCAAAAGCATCAAAATGTTTATAGCTGCTTTATTTGTAACAGCCAAAGACTGGCAAACACCTAAATGTTCACCAACAGGGGAACAGATGAACAAATTATAATGAATTTCAACACAGGAATATGATGCATCAATAAAAAGGAACAAATTGCAATGCCGTGGAACAACATAGTCGAACCTCACAAAATATTAGACAGAATTAATGCATAATAGCAGAAATCAGGATGAGGGTATCTTTGAGAGGAGGGAAGAGCCGAAAATGCAGAAGGCAATACCAGCATTCTAGGGCGCTGGTGCTGTTCTGGTTTTACATAGTTTGTGGTTCTATGGGTGTATGAGAATTCATGGAGCTGTGTACCCTTATGATCTCTGTACTTCTCTGCATGTTTGTTTTAGTTTAAGAATAATGTTTTAAATTTTAAAAAATTGGAAGAAGACCCATCAAGAGCGACTTCCGGGAGCCTATAGGAAAACTCCAATGACCTCCAAATTCTTCCCTGTTTATTCAGGGGAGTCTACAGATCTAACCACTGGATTCATTCCTTCACCTGGTCTTCACAGGCAGCATACATTACTTCAACAAATATTTATAGAGGGTCTGTTGTGGGCCAGGCACTGGGCTGAAATTCAAAGGTAAATACAATAGGTTTGTGAATTCTCAGGGAGTTCACAGCCTGAAAAAACAGAACTGCTTTCTAATCCCATACTCTGCTGAATGCGGTCTCATACATCATCTCATTTAATTCACATTTCATTTAATTCTCTCAGTAAGCCAGTCCATAAATCAGTGGCAGGGCTCTAATAAAACCTACTTATTATGAACCGCAGGGCAGGCATCTTCCCTGTACACTAGGCTTGGTAATATGTATACCACAGCAGATAGCACCTTGCTAACCCACAGCAGACATCAATAATCTGCCAGGCACTCCTCTCCCTGGCTTTGACATGGCCTCACAATCCTCCCCCTCACAGCTCAATAGACAATCATTTTAGAACAATGGGGATTCACCCGGGGGATGCCACTAATCTACTATTCTTGAATCAAAGCATCAACTACTTTTTTATACTTTTGTCCTTCTTCATTTGAAAATATTCTTGGGAAGATCTATAACTTGTTCTTACGCATTTGCCTCTGGTTATGAATGGAGAATTTGAGAGTAAATTTGCAGGCAAGGGCTGAGAAGAAAGTATGCAATCCACGCAGGTCTAGAGCTTTAAGGGAACTTAGGCTTAATGGTTAAGGCACTGCAAGAAACTTGCTTATACTACTATTTTGCCTGGAGTAGAAACTAGCCTTGGTGATAAATTGTAAGCTTATAAATTAATCTTAATGGGACTAAGGGACAGCTGAAATAGATCCTGAGATCATCAGGGTGAATTTCAGCTCACATTACATGCAAATATTCTGTGGTGTTAAAAACTCAACTCCTGCTTCAGCAAAACTCCTGATCAGTTTTCAAGAAAGAGCACTTACTTCCTGTGTAGACTACACAACCGTCTATCTTTCGTTATCAATGCTGGTGAAAGTGATCAAAATGATCCGTGTGCAACCTGAACCTGCCTCATCGAGAGGCTGCTTCCTTCCTCTGACAACCATTCCAGAGAGAAAAGCTTTGCTGGGAAGAAGTGCTTGGATCAGGGCATTTGTTCAAACGCCAAAGGTCAAAAAGTGAAGATAGCACACCTCGGTGTGGGACTCAGTAGTTGTTTTATTGTGCGTATACAAATAGGGAAAATACTTTTCAAAAAATAAATAATAAACTCAGAAACATGTCAAGCCTTACTTCTTGGCTTTAATTTTCAGTTGCTATATTTTGCAGGTTTCTAACTCCTACTGATACAGAACGGCTAAATTCCACCCTCAAGCCTGGACCCTCAGCCTTAAGTCAAAACAGCTGACCCTGATACAGAACGGCTGAGCTCCTGTCTAAACTCCACCCTCAAGCCTGGACCCTCAGCCCTAAGTCAAAACAGCTGACCCTCATACAGAACGGCTGGGCTCCTGGCTAAACTCCACCTGAAGCCTGGACCCTCAGCTCTAAGTGAAAACAGCTGACCCTCATACAGAACGGCTGGGCTCCTGGCTAAACTCCACCCTCAAGCCCGGACCCTCAGCCTTAAGTCAAAACAGCTGACCCTGTTGCCTTTGTGGCCCACCCCACCTCCTATCTTGTGCTTGCCTTTTGGCCCACCCAATCCCCTAGCCTTTGCCCATAAAAAGACTTCAGCTGGTGGAGCAAAAAGAGGTAGCTGATGTAAGTGTTTGGGGATGCAAGCTGCTGAACATCAGGGTTACATGCAGCTGAGCATCCGAGACTAAGGATAGACTCGGCTAACTTCAGATGGTGCGGCTTCAGGAAAAGATCACTTTCTTCCCATACCATCCCTTTACCAATTCCCCATCCCGCTGATAGCCACTTTTATTGCCCAATAAACTCCTCCACATACACTACCCTTCACATAGTTCATGTGACCTGATTCTTCCTGGACACCAGACAAGAACTCGGGTGTCAAGAAGAGAAGGTGCAGAAGGCTGTCACCCTGAACCTTCACTGAACTGTTAGCCATCCACAGACTGCAGGCTGAGTGAAATGAGCCACTCCAATTCCTGCCCACAAGGGGGGTCAAGGTCAAGGGAACAATCCTGTCTCAATACAACTATAGAATTTCTGGCTAGAAGTGCCATAGGAGAACTCCTCAAGAGAAATTGGGACCCATCTAAAGAGACACCACATTGGGCCATCCTGCCTTCTTATTCCCAATCCAGAGATAGCCTCCTCTATGTCCTCACCCCTTCCCTGATTTCCTAACCATGAACAATACGCATGCACACACACACACACACCCCCCACCCCTGTTAACAGCAGAACATATCTGAGTCATGGCACCAAAGTATGTTAGTGGCAATGAACCCATATAGGTCTGTAACAACCTGAATTCTTGCCTCCTCAGAAGAAAGAATGTGACTGAGGAGTCATAAAGCAGAAGAGATCGAGGCAAATTTTAGAGCAGGAGCAAAAGTTTATTAAAAGTTTTAGAGCAGGAATGAGAGGGAGGAAAGTACACTTGGAAGAGGGCAAAGCAGGTGACTTGTGAGATCAAGTGCCCCATTTGACCTTTGACTTGGGGTGTCATAGGTTGACATAATCCCGGGGATCCTGCATCCCTTCTCCCCTGATTCTTCCCTGGGGGTGGGCTGTCCTCATACACAGTGGCCTGCTAGCACTTGGGAGGGAGCATGCGCAGATGGGGATTTTCTATTTTCTAAATTTCCTGGAAAGGAAATGTGGGGTTGGGTATGTTACATTAGGTAGCTAGTCAGACACGAGCAGAAGAGGAGAGGATTCCCCCACCCCACACGCACCAGGAAGGTCAGGTGACCATCAGGTGTTTCCTGGAGTTGTACACATGCTCACTCGAGGTGTTCTTCCTTTACCAGCCAAATGCTTCATTTTGCCTCTTAGTAAACGTACTTGAGCCCACTCTCCCTGCCCCTGAGATCTTATTTGGAAGCTGCTGATCACCAGTTTCAGGTTTTTATCTAGTGGGAGACTGCCTTTCTCTGGCACTGGCTATAACGAATTGTTATTTAAGAGAGACCGTAACAACCATCTGACCACTACTTATGGTCACCTGACACTCCTGGTGCGTGTGGGGGTTGGGAGCCCACTCCTGTTCCACTTGCCTCTGACTAGCTACCTAATGTAACATACCCAACCCCACATTTCCTTTCCAGGAAATTTAGAAAACAGAAAATCCCCATGTTTAGCACCTTCCTCTTACTTTGCCCCCTCCTCTCTAATCCTCATTTCTCCCCAGCCCCAACCCCTACTCCTCTAAGACTGAAATTCAGAGCACTTCCTCCTGGTTAAGAAAAGAAGGAATTTGGGGAATTCCACCTATCTCTTCCATCTCTTCCAGTTATATGCATTTTTTAAAAGAATGCAAATGCAGTTATTTACATATATACACACTCTACCTCCACCAGAAAGACGGCCTTGTAAGGGAGGAATTTTAGATTTAAGCAGAGAAGTTATTACTTTTATAGTGAGATGGGTGGGAAAACTTTCTACAAATTGTACCTACCATGATAGCCATGGTCTACAGGGAAAACTATTTTCACACCCAACCTTGAGGCCTCTCTCTCTCTGTCACACACATACATAGGCACGCGCACACACACACACACACCCCTACTAAATAACTACTGTGAAGAACTTCTGAAATAGTACAATAAGGACTTCTAAAAACCCACACTTCCATAGAAACAATGAGAACACTAGCAAAAATTGTCACCAAAAAAACCCACAACTTTTTAAGAACTCTGGAAATTAACCAAAGGTGTCCAACACTCAGCAGGTCATTTATTCAAGAAAAATGGTGGAACCTCAGAAAGAACAGTGAGCTGTGTGGTCTTTTAACTTGCCCTATTCTCATCTCCTCCTGAGCTGCTCAGTAGCCTTGGAAACTAACAGCCTCACCACAATGATAGTTGTGAAAATCATCAGTCTAGCAGCCATGGGAGGAGACAGATGGGTTTGGAGCTCTCCAAAAGCCTGTCCCTGGAGAATTGTCACTGTTTGACCTGCCTGGAGGCACCTAGAAAATCCTCCTTCTCACAGTTGTTTCTACATGGCCTAACTCAGAGCTCCCTCTGTTCAAACAGCCCCATTTCCTGGACGTTTAAGAAAAAGTGGACGTTGTTTAACATGACAGCTTCCTCAGGTAGTAATACTACTAGGGGCTGGCCCACAAAAACTTCTTTCTTTACTCTTTTCTTTTTTCTTTT